GTCACCATATTACCCTGTTACTCTAGTACCATGCCTGGCACCCTGACGCCCTGTCATCCCGATACCTTGTCAGGGCTCTTTCACGTCTTTAAATAATACATGTAAGATCTTCTGTGGTAAACAAACATTGTTCTGCAATAGTGAAAATAACTAAATAAATAAACATATACACAATGTATATCACACTTATTTAGATCAGACAAACGTGCGGTGACATTTTACTAGAAATTCACTTCAAATTTACCTAAATATAACACAACAACAGTGCTTTAATGAGACACTCTACTCTGATTACTTTACTGCTGAACTATGGTTATAAATGCATCTACAAATCGCCCTGTTTTATCTCTCATCGTATAAAAATTAGACCTTCGTGATATGATACAATAAACCACCAAATGTCATGTGACCGATTTTAACATAAACAGGAAATATTGTGTGTTACATATATTATATGTTACACACAATAACGAAATGATCTCAGCGCAGTATAAATTTCTACTGGCCAGTTAGAGACCTAAATCACCATTGGAGATACTTTGTTATATAATGATTGTCCCATCGCATTTGATGGACAAGTTAGTAGTGGAAGGGCATTTTCTTTATTTATTTTAGTTACAAGGTCATTATCTAGTAAGTCAGTCAGCTTATGAAATTGGTGATGTAACAGACGTACATGTAAGTCGGTTTCACGTTTGTTACAAATCAACATTTGAAAGCAACGATGATGGACTTAAAAGAGAATGAGCAGGTGGCAGTTCTCCTGTCAGAATATCTGGACAGGTATGTAATTGGGACTCAAGAGATGTTTTTTATCAGGAGAAAGGGGCTGCTCTAAGCGGGCTTTTAGGAAATATGGAACGTGATAGGTTTATTCAAATTGAATGTGGAAGCCGAGGAGACGTATTTTGTCTGTTGGGTTCAGATGTAGACATAATGACTATAGATAAGGATGTGTCAGTTATATTACCTGGTCAACGTATTCCTTCAAATATGTCACACAAAACATTTCTATGTATACGAAAGGGAGACTATCGACCAGGCCACTATAAGTATGTCAATTTAGAACTGGCTTAGACACGACATTCGACCGACGACATTTTATTTAATTCATTTGCTAGAGTTGGGAATTAGGTTTTTCTTTCCAGTGATGTATACAGGGAACAGCATGTGAGTGAATCCCGTTCAGATTTTGGTGTAATGTTTGAATCCAATGGACCTATCTGTTCCACAAAGAAAGGAGTACAAGGGGATGTGTCGTTTTGCTTTTCATGTCACAGTTGAACAAAGAATGCCAAAGAATAAATGACACGTGCACGTCCGTATGGATGGCCGAGTCAACCCCTGATAGACAAGATTGTACAGAGCGAAAGCCATCTTGTTCCAGTCGGAGATAAATATTATAAGACACACTTTTGTCATGGAGAGTATCATTTGCAGCAGCAGAAAGATGTTTGGTTCACTCCTTCAATCGCATCCAATTCAGTGTATATGGCTTATTGAAGTATGCATTAAAACTAATGAAAAAACACATTAGCAGAAACCATAGGTGATTCCGACATTTTGTGTTCGTACTTTTTAAAGACAATTCTGTTTCATGCAATAGAGAATTCCAGTCAGATATTTTGGCAAGACAAATACTTATTCTATTGTTTTTGGTTTTGCTTCAATATTCTTTTTGCTTGGATCAAGGCAGGGTTCTGTCCTAATTACTTCATACCAGTCAACAATTTGTTCCAAAGGGAAGTACATGGACAACATCGACAAATACTGCTGGACGTGTTAAACAACTACGGTCAGATGAAATGGACGCTTCTGTCAGTAGGAAACTACTAAAAACAATATGGCACTACCTGTCTGACAAATCATGCCAAGATCGTCTTAAAATCCCAAAACCTTCATGGGAAGTTACAATGAATCAAGATATAACAACTGTTATGAGTATGCCACTCTATTTATGTAATTTATGTAATGTATTACACTTCAAACTGCCAGAGAGGCAATGAAGTTATTATCAACAGCAAGGACAGATTTTGACGACGTTTACACTCACAACTATGCATTAAAAGTCCTACAAACACTTGCAATCAAACAAAATTTTTCAGACCGCAGGGATGCTCGAGACAACAAGACAAAGTACTGGAGGTTGAGGAAATATAAACACTGGATGAATCATAACGCTGTAATGGGTACAGAGCTTCTGTATCTGGCAATTTTTCATTTCCTGACGGGCGCTTACAATAAATCACTGGTAATGAGCCAACAAGCGACATAAATCGCATCATATCTTGAGTTTTCTACCGAATGGCCACCGTTAACACAAAATATGCGGAAGATTGCCCAATATACCATAAGAATATATTTTTGTCAACAGATCCATGTGCCCGACTCTGCCGAAAGCTTTTGAAATGTCAAAAAATATTATGCATGTCTAAAATTTACTTTCTGGTGCAAAGCATATATTCTTATATATTTCGATATGTGGTGTTGCTATGTCCGATATAGTAAGCTTCGTTTGTATACACCCTTGGGTGAATCGTTTCTTTATTTCCTGGTATTTATTAATGGATTTTGGTTGTTTGTGCATGAAATTAACTACACGAGATGTGTTATTTTGATGGGTCTGGTTTTAAATCCATTTATTTTACTTTAAAATTAATTTCTGTAAATTGCATCCTGTCGATATGATGTATGGTCGAGGGCCCCTTAGTATGAATGCCAGGGTTAAGTCATTCACATTGGTTTATATAGACATATTTAATATAATTCTGAGGAATTGGCGATTATGACAAGAACTGGAAATAAATATTTACCAAACAATCGGACATAAATGCTTACAGCTTATCATAGTACATATCTTCAAAATACCTTACGAATGCAAGCATTAAACACGGACTATTTACGTAATTGATGACTCATGGAGAGAGAGACTGAGAGAGAGAGAGAGAGAGAGAGAGAGAGAGAGATAGAGAGAGAGAGAGAGAGAGAGAGAGAGAGAGAGAGAGAGGGGGAGATTTTCTGCAACATTCTTAAGATTAAAGTTTGCTTTGGCGAAGTCGCACACGTTAGTATCACATGGATGATCAAATTATTTTCATCTTTGAAAAGTTATATTATCATCAAGACTAAAAATCTTCCTGTCAATAGATTCTGTAGAGTCTGATATCGACAATCATCTACCAGTATTTGTTTTATCATACACACTGCAGAGATCTCTGAAGGAATCGATAATTTGTTGGTTACCTGGGTAACAACTTCCGGTAAATAATTCACGTAAATCAGCTTGCATCTCTTTTAAGGAAAGTTTAGCCCGTGTAAAATGATGATGGTGGATATCTCTAAACAGGTTGACACGTTTTCTGTTATCTTCTGATTGGAAATTTGGGAACATCCTACAGATATTAGGGTTGTCGTAGAAGTGATGTGGCAGAAACTCCTGTTCAATGCTTATCTCCAGGAATGTCAAGAAGTAGCTTAGCGCTTCCCTGACGCCGGACACTTCAAGCTGGAGAAGAATACTGTGGATCGCAATGTTCTTCAAGTGGTATGATGATACAAGACAGAAAAGTTGCGAGGACTTGTCTAAACCGTTTATGTAGGCTTTCATTATCCTGCAGGCTGTGAGTATATACAGATAACTTTCATTTTTACAGCTGACATCAATTATGTGCTTCTCGAACCCACATACGCTCTCCTTCCAGAGTAGGTTAGGATCAGGATAATCGTCTACATAGCGTCCTTTGTGGACCCACTTCATCACAGCATATCTGTCCCATGTAAGAGGGAGCGAACCATCCGGATTAGGGACGGAACCGGATGGGAGGAGAAGACCTGGTACTATGTCAAACTCGATAGCTTTGCTTTCTTTGCTCCATTTTGGTACAAGGGCTGACTGACGTAATGTCGCAAAAAGATTTCGACCATAAGACAATTCATCAACATCGGCCTTGCTTTCTATTGATATTTTAAATCTGTACGTGGGCGGAAACACGCTAGCTTTATTAAGAGTAAAAGAACAAGTTCCATCTGGCATCTGTTCGTCGATAGCTTTCTGTATTTCTGAGATGGTAGTGTCCATGATGGATGATATTACTCGCGTCTGAAAACACATTGCGTTCAAAATCAAATTGGAGCCACGCGTTTCAAAGACGCCATCTGTTCTCAAAGACTGGTACTGGTCACAACTCATGACAGTCTTTGTCTGTCCATTATCCGATATCTCGAGATTCACGAGTGGAAAAACCTGCTCTCCGTTGTTATCAAGGGCTGGAACAGCGCATATATCAACTCCTTCAATTGTAAATGGAAGAATCATATCAAACTCGTCTGGTTGTCGAATTTTCAAACCTTCCCGAGAACTGCCCTGCTTTACTAAGTCTCCAAAGGTGAGGCAAGGGTATTTTCTTGCAGACACTACATGGAGTGTCTTTTGAAACAACTGCGTGATCTCGTTTACAACTCCGCAGGAGTTTTGCCAAAGATCGTTTGATATTTCGTATTTACCCACGCATGCGTTCTCTTGAAGTCTTTCGGTAAGGTAGGATTCATTTTCAGCAAACGTCGAAATAGGCATCCGCCAATCATTAAAATTGCTCCCTACTTCTTTGTTGTCTTGCGGAGTATTTTGATTCTTTCGATTCCATATCCTTGTAACATTTCTGTTGACTTCCTTCACGTATGAATTGTCCGACCATATTGAGCCCATCCTCACTCTACTTTTTTCAAGTGGCTCATTAGTCAAATTCTGAAAGAAATTAAGATTTATATACATAGCGAATATATCTGATACACTATTTACTACAACAAAACGTTGTGTTATTCCACTTTCAGACCATTGCGTAAACGTGCTGACTGTAGGATGAATAGAGTAGTATATGACTTTTCGGTTTTTTTTATTGGTGAATTTCGAGACGTCGCGTTTGTACTAAGTTGGATTTAAAGGAATTTCTATAAATTTGTTGCTTTGAAAATAATAAACTCATTCATAACTTGTTATGATTTGTAATGATTTTTTCACGCGAATTTCCGAAAGCCTCATTTTTACATATTTATTATACTACTGTCATACTATGACGTTCGAACTGATGTTGTAAACAAACCGCGTATTGGTACAGAAAACATATAAAAATACCAGCATGGCAACATATTGATTATCCAACCTCAGATTCCATAAAACGAGGGTAAAATGGGAACGAAAGAAAAGTTTACACGGGTCGTAATTAACATATACAGCACATATGTACATAACAATGTAATATATCACATACACAGCACATATGTACATTACAATGTAATATATCACATACACAGCACATATGTACATTACAATGTAATATATCACATATACAGCACATATGTACATTACAATGTAATATATCACATACACAGCACATATGTACATTACAATGTAATATATCACATACACAGCACATATGTACATTACAATGTAATATATCACATACACAGCACATATGTACATAACAATGTAATATATCACATATACAGCACATATGTACATTACAATGTAATATATCACATACACAGCACATATGTGCATTACAATGTAATACATCACATACACAGCACATATGTACATTACAATGTAATACATCACATACACAGCACATATGTACATTAAAATGTAATACATCACATACACAGCACATATGCACATTAAAATGTAATACATCACATACACAGCACATATGTACATTACAATGTAATACATCACATACACAGCACATATGTACATTACAATGTAATACATCACATACACAGCACATATGTACATTAAAATGTAATACATCACATACACAGCACATATGTACATTAAAATGTAATACATCACATACACAGCACATATGTACATTACAATGTAATACATCACATACACAGCACATATGCACATTACAATGCAATACATCACATACACAGCACATATGTACATTACAATGTAATATATCACATATACAGCACATATGTACATTACAATGTAATATATCACATATACAGCACATATGTACATTACAATGTAATATATCACATATACAGCACATATGTACACACCAAATACATACCAAACGTACTATTATTACTTACCAACTTTCCTTACAAAGATCTGTTTCTGTTTATAGGTTCCCCTATTTTCTCCGATTTCTCCATCGTGTGCTGTCTCCCTACATTTTTATCCAGGCCTTTGGTGTTGGCTTGCTGTAAACGCTTCGTGCGTTATTGCATTGTAGAAATGGCTGTGTCCCGATTCATCAACTTTAAGATAACGGGGGCAGATTATGTCAATATTAGATTTAAAGCCTATTTCAGTTTAGTGTTTCTGTATCTAGAAGTGATTTACCTGTGGTTTTACCTGTGCTTATCTGTGCCGTAATAATACACAGTCATATCTGGAGCTGATATCATGGAAGGATTTTATTGAGAGTTGAACAAATTATTCAAGTTTTACATATATAATTTTTGATATTTTGATAAACCTAAGTACTTGTACTTATGTGTAAATTGTGTTTCACAAATGACAAAATTAAAAAAAAAAAAAAAAAGAAAAGAAAACGGGGGGTGGGGGTGGGGGGAGGGGGAAGGGTTCGTCAGGATCAATCTATTCATACCATCAAGCTGTCATCCCTCACTCATAATTCTAACCTAGTTTGAAAAAAAATTTCAATGGAATTTCAACAAATAATACTAAAAAATCTAACGAGAATAAGCTATTAGTATCTTACTCAGCAAACATACAGAGATTGTCCTGAAGATAAAGTAGGAAAAACCTAATACCATGAACTAAGCAGGAATACACGAAATTCAATATTCAAGGGAGGAACAGGTCCTTAAACTTCAGATTAAATGAATATAACAAGCATAATGACGAAATGACAAACTGCCTGGATAATGTGACAGGTTACGGCTACAGGAAGCCCGGGTGGGATATTTTCCCTCTCTAATATGTTTTCGTATGAAACACGTAAATACATAAATCGTGCACTAAAAATCGTTTGTTAAAATTCTATTTATTTTTGTAAATTGTTTTATTCAACCCATTTATCATAAGACCCCAATCTGGGGGACTTTTAAATAAAATTGGTAACATTTTGTAGACAGAGTACTGTTTTACAAACAGTAATATATATATATATATACATGTACTTTTCTTTGTAGGATAGATAGATAACAAAGAAAAATATTATAAATAAAACATGGGCAAATTAAAGTCATCAACAGCATCAGAACTACGCGACCTTTTATGAACTGTAACCTCTGACCTCTGCCGCCATATGGTCCTGCTAGCTAGCCTTTCTAGATATATCGTTCAGGCTACATCTACTGTTACAAGGCAAGCTCGGCATACTACTGCCCTGACAGCGGACACAAAGCACAGGAATTTAATAATATATTGACGCATAATGTAACAAAACAACAACACGTGCCCAATTCGTAGCAGCATATACTCACCTACATGTACAGCTCAAGTCACAATACAGCAAAATATCCGAGAAACAACGAAATTCACCCGGCGAACACAAACACACCACCGCAGCACGTGGCAGGGGAAAATTTTAACCAGCTGATAATAGAACTCCGTTTTTCAGCTATGATGATACGTCATATGTATTCATAAAAATTAAATAAATAAACGAAAAATATTATTGTTAATGTGATATGTTGTAATAAATTGCGCATTAAAAACGTATAACAGAGTTAAGTTATGTATGTTGTGTAAGGTATAAATATATCACATGTAAGGTATAAATATGGACATTTTTGTGTACATGTTAGATTGACCGTAACGCTGTTTGTAGAGTTGTGGGAGGAACGTGACTACATGTTCAAACTTCTTACAAATGTAAGTATTAAAATGTTTGTAAACATTAAATAATGATGTGCATGTTGAAAGGAACTTGAAAGTATGGAGAACGCGTGATACCTCCGGTGACAGTGTGAATGATGTGTGTGGAGAACGCGAGCCCTCTTGTCAGAGTGTGAATGATGAGTGTAGAGAATGAGATACCTCCTGTGAAAGTGTGAATGATGTGTGTGTGGAGAATGAGAGCCCTCCAGTGACAGTGTGAATGATGTGTGTTGAGAATGGTAGCCGTCTTGTGACAGTGTGAATGATGTGTGTGTGGAGAATGAGAGCCCTCTTGTGACAGTGTGAATAATGTGTGTGGGGGGAATGAGAGCCCTCCTGTAGTCCTCCTGTAGCCCTCCTGTGACAGTGTAAATGATGTGTGTGGAGAATGAGAGCCCTCCTGTAGCCCTCCTGTGACAGTGTGAATGATGTGTGTGAAGAATGAGAGTCCTCCTGTGAAAGTGTGAATGATGTGTGTGTGGAGAATGAGAGCCGTTCTGTGACAGCATGAATGATGTGTGTTGAGAATGAGAGCCCTCCTGTAGCCCTCCTGTGACAATGTGAATGTTGTGTGTTGAGAATGAGAGCCCTCCATTGACAGTGTGAATGATGTGTGTGGAGAATGAGAGCCCTCCATTGACAGTGTGAATGATGTGTGTGGAGAATGAGAGCCCTCCATTGACAGCATGAATGATGTGTGTTGAGAATGAGAGCCCTCCTGTAGCCCTCCTGTGACAATGTGAATGTTGTGTGTTGAGAATGAGAGCCCTCCATTGACAGTGTGAATGATGTGTGTGGAGAATGAGAGCCCTCCATTGACAGTGTGAATGATGTGTGTGGAGAATGAGAGCCCCCCAGTGACAGTGTGAATGATGTGTGTTGAGAATGAGAGCCCTCCATTGACAGTGTGAATGATGTGTGTGGAGAATGAGAGCCCTCCATTGACAGTGTGAATGATGTGTGTTGAGAATGAGAGCCCTCCATTGACAGTGTGAATGATGTGTGTGGAGAATGAGAGCCCTCCAGTGACAGTGTGAATGATGTGTGTTGAGAATGAGAGCCCTCCATTGACAGTGTGAATGATGTGTGTGGAGAATGAGAGCCCTCCATTGACAGTGTGAATGATGTGTGTGGAGAATGAGAGCCCTCCATTGACAGTGTGAATGATGTGTGTTGAGAATGAGAGCCCTCCATTGACAGTGTGAATGATGTGTGTGGAGAATGAGAGCCCTCCATTGACAGTGTGAATGATGTGTGTGGAGAATGAGGAACATCTGGTGACATTGTGAATGATGATTGTAGATGATGAGAGACCTCTCATGAGAGGAAAAGTCTTGTAGCGATTTGAATGTGTCTTGGGCTTTGTCAGTAAAATGTGTTACGTTCAAAAACTATGTAGATATCTATTATCGGTTAATTTGAAATCATCATCATACGTATATAAATAGATATAAAGCAAAATAAAATTTAAAATGTACCTGATTGATAGTTAATTTTTGCAACATAGTTTTCCACAAACTGAAAAGGAAACAAAAATGTTCCCACTGAATGCTGGATAATTTTGCTCAATTCTAGAGCTAGATATTGATGGAAGGAAAACCTTAATTTATAAACGTGAGATTGTCATATGCACGTTGATCTTGACTATGTTGTAGAAATGCCTCTTGTTTTTATGAGAATGGCGAATCTTGACAAGATTTTGTCAGGTTTGCCAAGGATATTCTTCTATCCATGCTTTGTTAACTAGGAGACATTGTTCTATGTATTCACTTAAGAATTTGGATTTGAAATCCTGTAATGATATAGATTAACAATGGAAGGGAAATGTTGAAACAATTCGTCTTCTC